GGAGGGGTTGAGGATGGTCGGGTTGCCAGATCGTAAAGGAATATGAGCGCGTACATGGTGGGTATGTTGTGTTGTGTATGTTGTGTTGTGGAGAGTAAGGTGGAGGGAAGGTCTAGGGGGAGGGACCCCTTGTCCCTGTCTTTTTGTCTTACTTTTAACAATCTTACCTATCATGGGCGCATGTCTGGCCTACAAAACCCTTCCTTCATTCCCGCAATCACTGTCGCCTTAGTAAATCAGGAATGAGCACACTGTATGCGTTTATCGTGTCGACGAGGTCACGACGAGGTATTGTCGCATCTTTCCAACAACACCCACACTTTCGCAAAGTGTCTGTACATGTTTTCTTCGTACATCCCAAGAAAGCTCAAGAATGGGACGTGAATGGGACCCCACTTGCCGCGATTGTCAACAAAATGGTAACTCTGGTTCTCCCCCACCACCAAATGATAAACTGGATGGCAACCCGACACCCCAGCTCCATTTCTGACGACGATAGCTGCATTTTTTGCCTTTGAGACACGATTCCGGGAATAAATTACTAAGATCAAAAATGGGTTATCCGGCCTTAGCTCAGTTGGTAGTAGCGGCAGACTGTAGTGTTCACACAGGCATCTGTAGGTCCCTGGTTCGACTCCGGGAGGCCGGAATCAGTAGTGATTTAATGTACAGTTTTGCATATGCACTCTTTTATTGAACACGATTTGATCTTTCTTTTTTTTGGAAGAAGAATGTACAAGTGAGCGCGGATGTAGCGTAGCATGATTCCCATGTGCAGTCAAGTACATAAATGTCAGTCCCCAAGTCCAAAAGTAAATAAGTTTTTGGTTTCCAGATTCAGCATAAATGATTATGTGACCAGACCCAAATGAAATGATGTGTTCGATTTGATTTCTTCTGAATCGCCTGAAGCCAGCTAAAATCTCATTTCGGAGAATTCTTTTGGAACAACTTGCCTGCGAATGTGGCTGCCAATAGAATAAATCGCGCAGAATCAGAATCAAAGGAGCTTGAAACCATATGAAACAGTATAACAGGTTGAAGCATGGCTTGCGATGTGATGGGTTCATCTAAGGACCAAGATCCAAAGTTCCGAGATCTTCTCCTTTCAAGTACTGTAGCAGTGTTTCGACCAGCGTGGAGAAAAGCAGAAAATCAATCGATGATTCGAGAGCCAAAGACTTCAGACTTGTGTTCATTTGATTTGACAGGTCTAGAAGAAAATCAAATTTTGTCATATTCGTCATGTCATGTTCTACGTGAAAGAAAGCATGCATTTTAGAAGCCTGGGAAGAAGGCGTTAAGGAAGCCCGGAGGAAGCGCTGGAACCGATTACTCGTATCCAGAAGTTGGCATGCTTATTTGATCTGAAATTTCGGAAACTAAGCTTTTTGGATTTTTGGACAGTAGTTGTGTGTGACCTGTCAAAATAATTTCCAAATCCGACAAAATTTTCGTTGATGATGAGATCGAAATTCGCTGCTGAAGTTTTGTTCTGTCGTGCATGAAAGTCAAAAGTCCGGAATCTTCTCTTGTCGCATGCATCCCACCCCACATGAGACGCCAGGAATCTCTGCATCTGACGTGATTCTCGTGCTGTTCGCCCAGCTGCTCGGCTTCTGAACCTCCAACTGAGATCCTGGCATGTCAAAAATCGAATCTCGAATCTCGCCGGAGAAAAAAAAGAAATTTCTGCGGAGGTACACAGATACTCGCGGAATCTAGCTAGGGGCGGTACCTACCGGAGCGAAATAAAAAGACCGACATGATTTGCTGATTTTCTCTTCAGAGAACGATCTCCCAAATAGTTATTCTTTGATACCTCATAGTCCTGCGTCTTCGGGCTGCGGCGCGCTGATTCGCTTTTTTGTGATAGTCGCCCCGAGCGCTCAACCTCACTTATACAGTAACCTCACTTCACTCATACAGCAACCTCACTTATATAGTAACCTCACTTACATACATACAACCTCAACACTTATAAGTCTTTCAAGAAATACCTCATTCAACGCCATCGCGATCGCATACACAACTCACTTCCAAGTCTATACGCGCTAAAACCTCAATCAAAATCAACATGGCCCCCCCAACAACACCACGCACCTCCCTCCTCAGTCTCGGTCTCTTCGACCTCTGCCGCCTCACTCTCATCCTTATCATTTCAAGCCTCATCATCCCCTCATACGTCACGGCCGAGACTCGTTTTTACACAATGGATATCGCTAATACGGTTGTCGCCCCCGCTGGTGTTCGGCGTACGGCTGTCACGGCGGGGGGGACGTACCCTGGTATGCTCATTCAAGGGAATGTTGGCGATGATGTTTATGTTAATGTTCGGAATTTGTTGAGTGATCCGTCTATGGAGGAATTGACTTCAGTTGTAAGTGGTTTTTGTTGGAGTTGTTCTTTTTGTTGCATTCCGGTCATTCAGTATTTCGAGTTTGGTTCATAATAGATGCTTCTGCCCTCTCTTTGCTCCCCTATGTTCGGTTTTTCCAGCACTGGCACGGTTTGCTGAAGCGTGGTGAATCGTTCGACGACGGACCCAGTCTCACGAATCAATGTCCGATTATTCCTGGAGACAGCTACACGTACTACCACAAATTGACTGAACCGGGAACTTACTGGTACCACAGGTGAGTTTGCGTTTTCTAAGGAGATGATGACCACCATTTCGATCTTGATGCCCGAAATGCGCTGAGCGAACATTCACGCCTAAACCTCACACACCCTTCCGTCCAGTCATCAAGGTGCTCAGTATGTCGATGGCTTGAAGGGTCCCTTCATCGTGTATGGTATGTAAAGCTTTGCTCCATGCGTCTTGATCATGCGTACTTTTCTCAAATCACAGCATCCCACAAACACACTGGCTCACCAACACATCCAATTCACTTACACCCCCCTTCCAATCACAGACCCCAACGATCCCCACAAAGCCCTCTACGACTACGACAACGAAACCACCATCGTCCAACTCAGCGACCACTACAACCGCCCCACCGTCTCCGTCCTCCTCCCCCAATTCTTCTCCCCCGACAATGGCGGCGGCGCCGAACCCGTCCCCGACTCAGCCCTCATCAACGGTGTCGGAGAATGCAGCTCCGGCGCCAACGCTCCCTGCCCTCCTCGCCCGGTCTTCCGATGCGAGAGGGGTAAACGCCTCCGATTGCGTATCATCAACACCTCCGCGATTGGTCAATTCGATTTCAGTATTGATGGACATGGGTTGACGATTATCGAGTTGGATGGGGTGAACCATGTGCCCTATGCCGCGGATAGTTTCACAATCTACGCGGGTCAACGTGTTTCTGCCATCGTCAATTGTAACCAGGCCGTCAGCAACTACTACATTCGTGCGGAGATGAGGGCGCCTGGGTATGGTGGGAATGGCATGAGGGCTATTTTGAGATACAATGGTGCGCCTATTAGGGAACCCACCACGCGGAGGAGGAGTGGGAAAGAAATGAGGGAATATGAATTAAGACCTTTGGTGAACCCTGCGGCGCCGGGGGGGTCTGGTCCGGCTGATGTGGTTGTGAATATGAGATTTGGGAAGGACAAGGATGAGAATGATGCTATCACTTGGACTATCAATGACATCAGGTGAGGCTACGTCATGTCTTTCGAAGACGAAATTCCAAACGAACTTTTCCATTCGAATCCTCACTTACAACGTCTTCCCCCTCTTTGCATCCTCCCCCCTGTCATTAGGTTCAAACTCCCCAACACCACAATCCTCGGCGACATCTACTCCCTCACCGACGCCCAAGCCGCCACAAACACCCTCCCCCTCTCTCCCGGCGTCATCCGCATCCCCTCCAACAAAGTAATCGAACTCCGCATAAACGGCGAAAACGGCGGCATCAACCACCCCTTCCACCTCCACGGCCACACCTTCAGCATCATCCAAGGCCGCGACGGCGGAACAAACTACATCAACCCACCCCGTCGTGACGTCGTTGCTATCGGTGGGTCACCGGTGATTTTGAGGTTCGTGTCGGATAACCCCGGGGTGTGGTTCTGGCATTGCCATATTGATTGGCATTTGGAGGCGGGGTTGGCGGCTGTGTTTGTGGAGGGGAGTTTGGAGGAGATTAGGGCTGCTAATAGGGCTCCCGAGGCGTGGTTTGAGACTTGTAGGAGGTATTATGAGTCGCCTTTTGCGGGGAAGAAGGAGTAGATTTGGGAGGCGGAGACAAGGAGTAGATTATCAACACATGTAGAACTTACGGCATTTGGATTATACATAGCATATTGGATTGATTACTCATATTGGAAACAGTGATGAACAAAGAATCACAAGGCAAGTTACACCATTGATATTGATATTGATATCGGCAGAATGTTCATCACGGGCAACAGTGAGTTACGAAAAGGTTTCGAACCCTATTCTCCCCTCTTGTGAAATCAGGCTTGACCAGGGTGTTGACCAGGGTGCAAGGGTCACGAGACAGCCTTCCAGCCTTCCACCATGTGAAGTGTGACCAAATCCAGAACCCTCCTCATTGGCCCAACCGGCACAACTATTCTCCCCCTTCACATTCCCTCAAAACTGATTGGTCGATTCTGGTTTCTCCCCTTGTTCTGGAACTTCTCGTCGTTTCGTCATCGTTTCGCTGCCTTCTTGGTTTCCCCACCTCTCTCACCTCCGCAAACCCTCTCACTTAGATCGAAGCAAACTCCAGCTCTCCACTCCCTTTCATTTCGAAGAACAAAACCTAAGAAAACACCACACCACCACAAAACACCGCCCACCGCGAAACACACACGGAAGACCTCACCACAAATGTCCACCCCCACACTCAAATCCTTCACCCTCGACGAAGTCAAAAAACACAATACCCCACAAGACGCATGGATCGTTATCGACGGGGGTGTTTATGATGTTACAAAGTTTTTGGCGTTGCATCCGGGGGGGGAGCATGTGCTTGTGAAGGTTTTGGGGAAGGATGTTACGGGTGGGTGTTTGTT